GGGGGTCTAGGAGTGTGCAATTGTGTGGCTAGAAACTGCTGACTACGTGTCTGTGTGCTACCAAACGGCAAACGTTTATTGGCCAATGCTTAACCAATGATGTGCGTGCAGTAGTGACTGGCTATCGGTGCCCCATAGTACCCGAATATAATCTTATGGTGCAAGTCGTACAGGTCCTCTAGTCGGATATTATTTATGGTGTGGGCCGTCTCAAATCTCATACTTTGTCACATAAATTCAGAGAAGGGCCAATTACCAAAACTACCTTGTTTCTGTCCCAGAATGTGGGCCTGATGTTGGAGATAATTTTTTTTTTGAGAAACAGTAACTTGATGGATCTGATCGATTTTTTATCTTTTACCTCAGTTAACTGATGTTGCCTTTGGCCGTATCCATCTTTGGTCGTCACCGTCATCCCTCTTCTCCTCGGCGGTCTTCTTTTCTTCACCAACAGCAAACGTAATGCTTGGGTGTGGTGGTCGATCTGTCGGCACTGAAAACTACTCAAAGCACGACATAGGGGTTCTACTCGGTCAAATTAAGACGGCGCTCCCTACTGGACAAAATGAATGTGATGCTATCCTTTAAGAGTACCCTAACTACTCCAACGAATTTGACCGATCTGCACGCGACGTCACGTCCTTCAAGAAGAAGTCCCAGACACTGCTTAACTGTGTAAAGCAGTCTGGGGACCCGAATTGCCCTGACATCGTACGCAGAGCGCGTAATATTCAGCGCGATATCGAGGGACGAATACATCATGTCTCAAATGTCGACGACGGACAGAACGCTGGAGCACGCGTGTACTCGACTCCATTCAAATTTCTCGATGGATCCATCCGCTTTGCGCTTGATCTTGAACACCCACTTGGTACCAATGGCGTGTAGGTCGTTCGGTAGCTTAGCGGCTCGAAACACACCACGGAGTCGCATCAAGTTGAGTTCCGAGCGGATAGCCTTACGCCAATGCACTTGTTCAGGACCGTTCACCGCTTCTTGGAATGTCTTCGGCTCGCACAAATCGTCTGCCTCCACCGCGTTTGCACTTGCTTGCCAAAACACAGGAGGATGGACGTCGTCTTCATCGTCATGGGTATATTTCTCTTTTTCGCTGGCCCGGGTAGGCTCCGCTCGCACACTTGATCGGCGCTTTGTTTGACGCTCAAACGAGTTGTCATCTCTTCCAGCCCAGTTGTTTGACATCCAAAACGCGAACTTGCTGAAAGACCTTCTATTGAGGCATTCTTCACTGTCCGACTTGGCACGTAGGCAGAAATTCTTCATGTATCCGCTGGTTTCGTTCACGATGAGCAGCAAAGACCTGCTTCTGCCCAATGAGGCTTCCTCCATAGGACCGCAGATGTCGAAGTTGTGACGTCGAAGTGGGCAAACAAATAAAGTTCAAGGAATGGCGACTTAGAGCGATTTGCGGTGAGGCACGCCACTCGCGGCTTCACGCAGAAGTTTAGGAATAGATTTTAATGCCTCTTTTTCTCCGGTGCTTAAGATATCCAGTCTTTACCTCGTTGTGATATCTGTAGAAGTGTGGCGACGTGCTGAGTGCATATTTGAAATCGATTTGGATAAACCGATTTACTGATGCCACCAGCTGGAACCGCTGGGGACACGGCAGCCAGTCATGGTTACTTCTCAAGGTCTGTGCGACTTAAAAAAGAGTGGAAAGTTACGGAACGACTTGATTGACGCGTTCCTGAAAGCAAAAGGTTTCCCACGTAGCAAGGTGGACCGATTCTGTTGCTTCAAGCATCGCGATGAAAAGTTGTGTGTCCTCGGACGTTTTGATAGTGAGCCAAGATGATACAAGCTCAAATCAGGTGGTGTCATGTCCAATTGAACGACTCAACATCTAGAACCAAGGTGAAGTTCAAAAATGCCTCGGAATCTGATTCAAGCGTACCCCATCTGGTGTTGTTCTCCGCAAACAATAAATAATTGGAGATTTACTTCGAAAGTTTAGCATGGACCAGGGTGACACCAATGGAACTGAATCACCTTTTCTCTTGCAGGACTCTGAGCCATTTGCTGACACTAACATCGTCCGTGAGGCTAATTGGTAGTCTGATTTGGTTGTCAGATTGTACTCACCCGGGTATAACTACGGCTGAAAACTGCTTGTCACGATTCGTGGCAAAACCCAACCATGACTCATTGGCGTGGTATTAAACACGTACTACGGTTGCATCGTGAACAAAGGATTTTTGTAAAAGTTTGAAAAAGGATCAGTACCATATCTAGCATACCAGGCAGCGGTTTATTCCGGCTCAAATTGGGCTGGGGATTCAAGCTCAGCTAAGTCAACTAGGGGCTGTACTTCAGAGAAACTTGATGACAATTTCCTGGGATTCGCGTAAACAAACCACTGAGGCGCTTTTGACGATGGAGGCAGAATGTAGCTACTTGTGCAGCAGTACAAGACTGCATTGGCATCCGCCAACTTCTTGGGTTTTTTTTCCATCTGCTACCTAAAGACGCATCCATAATGCTCCGCGTCGATAACCAGTCGGCGATCCAGTAAAAAAAAGAAAAGAAAACGCATCAGCGCACCCGACATTTGAGCATCAAACACCATTTCGTTCGGGACGCTATCATAAACAAGGATGTCTACATTGAGTACTGCCCAACACAACAACAAGTTGCGGATACATTGACAAAAATCAGCGAGGAACTGCTGCTGTATGCCCCGTCTTGCTAGTTATGCTTCAGAGGGGATCTTGAAATGCGTATCGACGCTTACATACGCGCCAATTTCCTCTCTAGCGAACACGCACACGTCTACCCACCACCTAAACGCTAGAATACTCAAAGAGCGTTGCTGATTTGTTGTGTGACGACTGCGCACACGCACGTTCGCTGCTTGCTGCTGGGCTTGCCTAGCTCTCAATCCGTGCCGTTGTCTGTCATGAAAAACGAAATGAATGGTAGGAAGGGTACTAACAAATTATAAATATATAGAGGCTTAGGTCACATACTGCACTTGTCACATACGTCTTGAATAGTACTGTAAGTGGCAGCAACCACGCCACATAACTCTCATTACAATTGAAACGCTTTGGTATTAAAAAGTGAAACTGGCCAACTATAACGACCTTGTGGCGCAATGGATAGCGCATCTGACTTCTAATCAGGGGGTTGTGGGTTCGAGTCCCATCAAGGTCGCTTCTTTTCGTCATCCACGACGTAACCATTTTGTCCATTTCAACAAAAATATTCGCGAGCCGGGTGGGATTATAGAAAGGTTTCCTGGACTACAAAGAAGGTGGACAGTAGGCCACAGTCGCAAAAAGTGATTCGCGAATTATAGCTTGGATATCTGTGATATTTACGGTACAGTACTATTAATATATGGAGCGAACAATTGCGTTTTCGCAATAAAAGCGCATAATAGGACGTTTCAAAATCGACCACTTGGGATTTCCAAATCCGACGGATTTCCCGCGATCTCCAAGGGAGATCAAATCACCAGCTGCTTGAAACTGCGTGGCCAATGATTTCTTTTTTACCTGTAGTACTACAGTCAATGTCATAATTGATTCAAAGCGATTATGTCAAAAGCACACTTCATGAAGGAATACTTGCTTGCTCTGGTGCTTTGGCTTGAACACCCGCCCAACTTTGAGAAATGCTTTGGCATGGCCAAGAAGACTGTCGTCGGACAGAAGCAGTTCTCCAAGAGCGATGGCTTTCGAGATTTGGTCGCAGCGCTGAAGAAAAGTAGCAAGGGACGATTCGATCTCAAGCCTCAGCAAATGAAGGACCGTATCCAGACTTACCGAGCTCGCTATCTCAAAGCCAAGGCGTACGAGGCGTCTACGGGCGCAGGCATCACGGCAGAAGATGAAGCAGCTGGTGTGAACACGATGGTTCAAAAGTTGGAGAACATGTGTCCTTGGTATGCCAAATGACGGTGTAGCTGGCCAACACTGGCGCCATTCCCATTCTCGCCAAGACTTGCTAATGCCACTGCTAGTTGCCAACTCACTGGTTGCTGTTTGTGATGACAATTTGGAGCCGTTGACTGAAACACTGGGTTGTCGTGTATGTAGTTGTGGAGGGCGCAAAACGACCGCTTGGAAATCCGAGTAAGCTGCCTAAAGTCCTTGTCACTTAGTGCAGTAAGAGTAGCGAGACTGCTGTCCGCATGCAAAGAGCCGATAAGAGATGTGAGATACCGGCTTGTGTCTACGGACAAGTATACCGCAAGAATACGCTCAGCTGTGTCGTCATCTCCACTAGAAATATAGAACACATAGAGTGCTTGTGGGTCGGACAGCAAAGCCTTCCTAATTGAATGGCGCGGCATTGACTTCTTGTTTTGCCCCCCTTCCCAGTGCCACGCGTGTCGATGCAACCAAAACACCCAGGGTATTTCCAAATCCACCACCTTCGAAGGTGGTGGATTTCGGATTGGAGAAATACAGTGGTACTCTGGTGAAATTGTGCGGATTTGCTCGCCGCCTAAATCTGAAATAAATGCCAAAAACGTCGATTTTGAAACCCCCTAATGAGTCTAAACCGCGCTATTTTCGGATATATCTGTCAATTTGAGTGTAACTGCCTTGCAGTTGTAATACTCAGCCATTCAGAATAATATCGTATTTTATCGGTAAGACATTGAATTATCTATAAACTTACATTCGTAATAAGTATCTTGAGTTTTTTTTTTTAGAATAGGAGATGCTAATATCTTGCGCTCAACTGTTTTTTTTCCTTTCCCGATGAATCTCGATCACTGTGGCGAATCACTAGGTCAGAGCTGAGACAAGTACGATCCGACGAAAACATAAAGCTCCAAGTCAGGACTTTCACCGGAATTGGTTACCGAGTCGGCAGTCTCCTTCATAAGCCTGCCTACTTCCACCCTCGCCACATTATCAGCCTGCATCCTCTTCCCTACTACCCACTTAAACATTTGTAACTATTGGGTGAAGGATGAGCCAGTGTCTACAGTGTAGAGCGGAGTTAAACTGACGTTCATACCGCTATTCGAAATTCGTGTTAAACTCGAATGTTCACGAACCTGTCCATCATACGCTAAGGCTAACTTTTTGCGACTATCAAGTAGAAAAGGCTATTTATTAAAGTAAACACGCCGAGCTATATATAGTATTCCTCGCGTAAAAAATGAATAGGAAACGGCAAAGATACAAATTTCACTTAAACTACTTTGAAACTGCCAGTCACTGCACTTTTGTTTTGCGGTCCCTGTTCCAGCCACCCTTGCTATATTTAGAGCCAGTTTTCCTCATGGCGATTGCCGGTTCACTGTCGTTGAACAATCCTAAAGCTGGTGCTTTTGCTGATCTTTCCATCCCAACGTCACCTGTTGCCAGAGCCACCAGTCTCGTCTGCTTGAAGAGGGTCAACGACAATATAGACAACACTCGGTTCTCCGAGTGATTCGTTCGTGGCGTCCACCACGAGGCTTGAATCAATAAGCAGAATGTGTCGATAATTTATTTTGACTTCGGAATGTCTAGCGCGGAAACGAACGTTATTTTCGCCATTCTAGACTATGATATACTTCATGGTTGTGTTTTCGGATAAACTCATTATCGCATTTGATTGGGATTAAAAAAAAGTTGCTCTGCATCCCTTCTAAACTGATTAGGTCCACAAAAACTACTTGCCACTGTACCACGCTCTTCTGAGCCATATCATAGCAAGTTTTTCCTGGGTAGCTGAGTTTTGTTTTTTACAAGCAAAGACATAGTTTAAGAGATACTAAAAGCTAAAGTTAAAGCACTCGTAATTACTTTACGCCGATGGCCGATCTAACCGGATTGGTATTTTATTAGAACTTTAGCCCAATTTTTGAGTATGTAGTGAAAATCAGGTCAAACTCCTTAATGAAGTCTTACGCTACGAAGTGACCTAGTGCTTGAACAAATGTGTTGAATATTCAACGAAGCTGATCTATGATCGAAGATTCTAGAATCGCTCGATCACCGACGCACCAGAGTGTGTATAAGGTAAGTTGCCAATCAAGGCATACGCTTCGATGGCCTCAGTGGCACACGTGTAGCCTCCGCATTCCGCAAAACTATTACGCAAAACCAGTTTCATTAGAAAGGTGACATAAAACTGCATCTGATGAACACTTTTTGCAGACACTGGTTCAGCCCAGCGTAACCACGATCAACAGCCAAACTTAATAGATTCTAACAGGTAAAATGTGGATTAGTTCGTGGCATGGTACGTACAATCCTAATCATTTCAAATCCCCTGGAACATCTTTTATATTTTGATGGTGCAGAGAACAACCATTTCGGCGAAAAGCATACTATTCTACCAAAGAGCCATTCAAGACGACGCGAATCAGCCTCTGCTGGCCGACTAAATTGTTCGGCATCATAGCTCAGTTCGATGCTGAACGTCAGGCTTGTCATGAAAGCGTATCTTCCGTGCGTTTTTGATGAATCTGACGACATGAACTTGCCATCTCCAATGTACCACCAAAATCTCCAGGAAGGTCAAATGAATATGCTACAGCTACTCTGCTAACAGACAAGTATGAATCCTTCTTCTCCATGAGGAGGACGGTGACAGCTACCATAATTACCTCAGGTGGAATCATATTATCGGCCACGAGGCGCACGCCTACAGTGCGGCGGAGCAGAAGTGCTATCGCGAACAGCGCATGTGTCTGCAGCGCATGCTGACTGCTCATGTTGAATATCCTACGACTATTAAACCTTTCGTAGTACAAAGGTGCATTTTTCGCTCTTTAATGTGCAAAGAGCAAAACAAATCACTCTCTCATTTTTTTCATCCGCTTACATAGTTCAACTGATCTGGTGCATCAAAGACTACAGTACGATTCAGTACGATTCAAATCGTGTAATTGGTTCCATATTCATAGTATCTTCAATAATTTGTTACAAGAGATTGTCCAAAACGAGTACCGTGAAATTGTAAAAGGGCGAAAAAGCTGTCCTTTAGGGGGAAAAATGACCTAGTCTTGTAAAGCATACTTTAGGCAAGAGGCTCGCGAAAGGGTTAATAGACACCGGCAAGCGAGTACCAACGAAGACGAGAGTTAAGGCGCTTTGATCATTACAGCGTCAGAGATGCTTGAGATTGGAACTCCCGCTGTAGCTTTTGCGAATACTTAATATTACGGCCTTCTTGGAGTTAATACGCTCATTCCGCGATAGCTGGCAATATAACTGAGACCACCTTAGTACTTGTCCACAGTTACCATCTTTCATCAAATTCTCCCAATATTTCTCGAACATCTTTCTTTTTTTCTTAAGTAGCGATAAACTATGCGCATACTGTGTAACTGGATTTGAGATCTATTGCAAATCTTAACAGGAACGAGAGAATGAAGTAAAGAAAGAATGAAAAGTAACAGTTATGACTGACTGCATAAGTGAATGAGTAAGTGAGTGAGTGAATGAATGAGTGAGTGAGTGAGTGAGTGAGTGAGTGAATGAGTGAGTGAGTGAGTGAGTGAATGAGTGAGTGAGTGAGTGAGTGATACACTGCCAGCCAAGTGTATACACGTTTGTGGGTGTATCTATATCAATATTTGGAGTTGGTCACCGCTGTTTGACTATGTTATTTGTGTTATTGTTAGAAACCTCCCATATCTGTTAACACTCGAGATTTAGCAGTTTATGAGTAGACTCCCATACAACCTGTCGTTTTTAGCCACGCGTCCAGTGATACGCACATCTTCCAGTTTACAAAAATCAAGTTATTCTGAAAGATAGCTACAAAAGCAGTTCGCTGGCTCAGAGTAATTCTGGATTCGATGGGGCGAGGACCACCGCTCACAGAGCGAGAGCGGACATTCAAGCAACCTTGTACGAATGTGATTCAGTCACATTCAAGTTACGTTATGGCTTCAACTTAGGGATTGAAGCCACTAGAACGACGGAGCAGTTAGCAAATATAATCACACAAATGTCATGCGTCCAGCTTCAGATATACATGCATCTCGATGCAGCACATGTACCCAACACTGGGATACATTTGAAATTGATTTAGAGACGGCAAACATCAAATTCTCAACTAAGAAAAGTAAAAAGTCCCAGTGTCGCTGGCGAAGTGGGGGCCCATCCTTATTCACGCTTCAGTTTCTTCCTATTGACAAATATTATAATATTAAATATTGAGTATCCAAATATCCAGAGCTTCCCGGGCGCAGCACGGCATTTGTTCAGCGTGTTCTAGCTAACGTTGACTGTCTCTGTTATTCCAAACTAAGTAGCACGTTGCAAACTCGTTACCGCACCGTTAACGACAACAACACGACACAAGAGTTTTCGGTGCTTTAAAGCCAGTTCAGCTTAACGCACCGTTAAGAGATAACAGATACACTAAATTGAATGAACGGGCTGTGTTACCTATATCGTGTCTGGATTTATACATCGGTTAATCAATCTGAAAAAAATCTAAATTGGTTAGCATACTCAAAATAACATCACCATACTCTGGGATATTCACGTAAAATCAGTTGCAGCAAGCTTTACCTATGCTGAGGGAAGAATGCCCGCTTCGACGACGGCATTTGTCCAAGCACTCAGCTATGCCGACCCCAGTCCGCTCTTAAGAGTCAAAATAGGATAAATCACAACGTCCAGTAGAACAGCAGTGCAGGCGAGAGACCCCGTCCTCTCCTTGGATAACCAGAGAGATAGCTACGACGCTTTCTGTTCAGTAAGGTTGAAGATAGAGAGTACTACATAGTTTATAAACTACCTGGAACAAGACTACCAGGCCAGACATAAACATTTTCATTGAGCCAAGTCAGACGGACAGGGGTTGCTATAACAGCAGACAATTTTGCGTCACTCCTTGCATCAGCCTATACTAACTACCAGAAGCGCACGAAGGAATCCTGCCTTTTCGGAAATGAGATGTTTGTGCTCGCTGCGAAGAAGGAGCTGCCGCTTCAGGAATTCAAAAAGCAAAAAATAGTATCGATGGGAACTTAGCACAGAGGCCCCAGCTCCAAGTTAGGGAGATTGCTAGAACTCACTGGTGCATTTGGCATGCCCGACAGCCAAAGGGCTCTACCCTCACACCACCCGACATTGCTTCCTTCGTTTAAGCTCACCATTCCGACGCTATGCTGGCTGAAGAGCAGGTTGACGAAGAGCGAGAATGGCGCGGTCAACGTATAGATTAGCGGGTCGAGAAAGATTCTACTGACGTTCACATGAGTTTCGCACAGTTACACAGTTACCCAACTACAATCTATTGCCGAGCTGAGTCTATTCTTCCTTTTGAGCCTCCACAGGATCCAGAAGAAGATGTACGAGAGCTTGACCACGCTAGTGATTAGATTCAATTCAGGAGGAAACGAGTCTATATTGAAAGCGGCCTCGTTTACACCCTTGTCCATATCCGCAGTGCTAAACCAGTTCCACCCCATGTTCCTCACCCCGCAGGCATTGCTTCATCGCCTACTTCAACACAAGCTCTTGTTAATGAAAGAAGACCATTCTTGCGTATCGTTATAACGAACTCTTGAGCCTGCCAAACATTACCTCAACTGGGTTGAGATGTGGGCAATACCGAGGGAGATAGAGTAGTACAACTTCGCACCTATGCACACATATTGTACATATAGATGACAGTGTTATCCGTCACCACAAATGAATCTAGGGAGCGGCCACGGGTTCAGGTGCTTGACCACTTGCCTGACGATGTTCGGTGAAATGCTTGCGACTGAGGGTACCTCGCATTGACTTCCACGTTACAAAGCCGCGCACATCACACGCCGTCAATATATTTTGACAATAAGGGTTAGCGGTGCTATAAAGCCAGTTCAGCTTAAAGCACCGCTAATAACTAAAGTCACTAGAATGAGGGTTAATTCATTTTAGTGACTAAAATCTGGCCTACCAACCACTATTTCGAATCATTCTAGCAGACGAGACAGAAGTGGGGGAAGTCGCCTCGCTTGTTGTAGCGGTAAAATTAGCGCTTGAAACATTTGACAGTATGGAGAGTGATTCGGAGGGAACAGACGAGAATCTCTCAACGAATCACCTTTTTCATTCTCAGCCAACCTGCTTGTCGTTCACTCACCAGGTAACCCCTTCAGAATGAAAGGCCCATGTATAATTTGAGTCTTACTTTCATATTCGTTCTTACAGCTAAAACGGATCAGGCTTTGAAGAGAGAAACAGAGTCAAGTCTCGAATATCGAAAACAAAAGAAGCAGAACATCAAAAATGGTCGGTTATCAACTCAAACTGCGAAGTATTATCGTATTGATGGGCTGACTAGCTTATTCTGTATATAATTGTTTAGTTATGGTGCTTACAAACCATAGCAGCTCGAATGCTGAAAGCCAAAATGAAGTCACCGATCGGATTCCTCGTCAGCGGCAGAGTGCTAGTTGGAGCGCGAGACTTGCGATGACAAAATCTGTTCAGGCAGTTGTCAATGTAGTTCCTAAATTTCCAGTAACTGAAAGTGATGATTGGGATACCATCATTAAGGCGGCAAAAGAGTACGAAGCGCAGTACTTCTTGTGCTACCGGTGGAGAGAATCTCTAACAACGACAACACACAACAGGTTCGATATGTTAAGTTGTGGTTTTATTGCTATTGATGATTTATATCTAACATTTTTTTTGTCGATGCATTGTGCTATAATTGTGTTTGTTGTACTTGCTGTCCATGGTGCCGTTAATGTGGTGGTTCCTTTAATTTTTACTTCCGTTATGGTTTTGTGCAGACGACCACGTACCAGAAATATCCCCGAACGCTTTCCGTGGTACTCTCGTACCTTTCGGTGCTCTCATGGATGCCATTAAAACTCTTGTGGCACTGGCTTGCGTCAACGCTCAAGTCGGTATGGAGGTTGCCCAGCTCGTTTCTCGGCTAAGGTCGTTCAAGTTACCGAGGAAGGTTGCGCAACTAAGTGGGTTGTCAAAGTATGTAATGAGGTGAGAGTGTGAAGATATACGTAAATGGAGGTCGTACTAACAATTAATTGTTTATACTAACATTTAATTGTGCTGCACATGACTAGACAAGGACGCATAACCACTTGTCTAACGCAGCTATCGGAAGCACTTACCAAGGGTCAGCCTGCGTTGATAATCGCCCCGATGTTCAGAGTCGGCTAGCAGACATGGTTAGCGTTGGTGGCGCACCAAAAAAGATCACTCAATTCCTCTCCGACAGTCTC